GATATCATAAGCAAATGAACGAAACATGAGAAAAAATTACTTTTCAGATATGTGAATAAAGGAAAGTTCCTGAACCAAACAGGAGATAGAGAATATCACAGAAGATAAAATGTGTAATCTTGATTACATAAAATTAAAAAAAATTAAAGTTATATAAAACATAAAATTAGATTGAAAGTAATAATCTGGTAAAAAAAACATTTATCTCAAGGTTTTCTGATAAAAACCTCAATTCTCAAATATATATGGAATTGACACCAATTTATAAAAAAATAAGAGCCTTTCCCCAGCTGATTAATACTCAAAATATATGTATGGGTAATCTCAGATGAGGAAATCAATGCTCTCAATTGCCATGGAAAAAGTGTTCTGAATCCTTAATAATTTAAGAAATGCAGATTAAAAAACTTAATGAGCAACTGATAACTGTCAAATTGGCTATTATGAAATAAAAGGAAAATGACTAATATTGGAGGGAATGTGGGAAAATAGGTACACTAATACACTGCTTGTGGTGATGTAAAGTGCTCCAACCATTTAGAAGAATGATGTGGATCTATGCTGTCATAATGTTAGGACTGGTGATCTTAAGACCACCTTAACAGTCTTTGTTTAAGCACAATTGTATTTTAAAGAATCTAACCAAGGAAAATTGTCATCAATAATATTTTTAAGGCTAATACATTTGTGTGCTCAAAATAATACCTTACCAACCATCAGTTTCTTTTTTCTCTCTGCAATTGTGTTCTCCAAAAATCCGCTATATATCCTAAATTTTGACATACAGATGAATATGAAAATCAGGAGCCAATTATCACACATTCAGAAGGGCATTTCAGAGCATACCATCCACTCCAGGGGTAATAAATCTTCCCACAGAAGAAATCCTTCAGTGATGAATTGACTTATTTTTTTATGCTCTCCAACATACAGCCACCTTTGCTTGAGTTTTACTCTATATTAATGTGAACATTTGAATTAAATTTGTGATCTCCTCCATTCTCCTTTCCTCCATGATTTGGTCTTCCTAATCACTTGTTAACAAAACTTCACATTAAATTTATCCCCATTGTTTGATATAGTATTGTTGGCATCTAAACTCACTAAGGAGTTTATTTTTCCTAACTCTAGCTGCTCCACTAACCTCTTCATACCCCAACTTTACTAAACACACAAGGCATTAATCTATTGACATTGCACCTACAATGCAGCAATTGTGTGCTACACTATAGCTTCACTAACAAACAACAAAGGTCCATATTGGAGTCCCATATCTTCCAGGTAGGGGCTATCTCATGCCATATGATTCTCAAAAAACAAACAAACAAACAAACAACCCTATAACAAAACGGTTATAAAACTAAACTTACCCAATGATGATAGGGGTGGATTCAGAAACAAACAAAAAAACAAAAAAAACCCAAAAAACAAAAAACAAAAAACCTGGTGAAGACTAATATGAACTGATGCAAAATGAAGTGAGCAGAACCAGGAAAACATTTTACATGATAAAAGCAACACTTTAATGGCAATAAGCTGTGAAAGACAGTTACTCTGATCAATAATATGATCCAAGACGATTCAAAAGGACTCAAGTTGAAAATACTATATATCCCCTGAGAGAGAATTAATGAAAATTCAGTGCAGATTGAAGAATATGCTTTTTTTTCATTTCTTTGTCTCTATAAATATATATTGCAATGTGACTAATATGGAAATGTTTTTTCATAAATAACAAGCATGATGAGTATCATATTGCTTGCTTTTTCAATGGATCAGGTGATGGGCTAGAAGGAGGAAAAGAAGTTTGAACTAAAAATAAAAAGTTTGTTAATAATTTGAAAAATAAAAGTGGGACTTTTTCAGAAAAGACTGGTATCATTTAAATGTATGCACATGTTTATTTAATATAGGTAAGCCTCTGGATAAACATTTTACAAATAATATCTCATTTGATCCTCAAATAATTTCCCTAGGAAGTGGTATTATCTGTGTCTGAAAGTTTAAGTAACTGAGGAAGACGAAAATAAGATGCATGGCAAGGTTTGATTGTTCCTACATATTTGAGGCAACTTTAGAAATCAGTTCTTTCTCACTCCAGGCCCAAAGACATATCCACTGGACTATTTAGCCACCTGATAAAAATTTTATTTGATCCTCACAACAATATTGGAATGTTGATGATATTATTAGCATTATTTTAGTAGAAGAAAAAAAAAGAACATAAAGAGATTAATTTACCTGCCAAAAATCAAAGAGCTAGAGAAAGAGGGTAGATTAGAAATCAGTTTTTTTTTTTTCAAATTGCACGTGCATAGCTTTAGAAGCTGCAACATGTAGCTCCTTCTAAAAATATCTTTAATTCTCTAAAGAAAGTCCAACCTGTGCATCTCCCCCTGGTTGTTGTTGATGCCCATAACTAAGTCCATTTGTACCCATTAGTCATAAAGATGCATTCCAAAAAGGAAAACTCTCTTTACCCACTCAACCTTATGCTATATTCTGGCTACCAGATGTTCTTCCTCTACTTGGCTTATAGTTTATGGATGGTTAGACTAACCCATTCTTCTTGGTTACAGACCTCTTTCAGAATCCTGTGCAATATCCTTCAGCTTGACACAACCAGGATATGCAACCAATAAACAGAAGCCTAGAACAGGGTAGTTATTTAATAAATGCTTCCTGAAATTAAGTAAACCAGTAAACATTGTTACTTATTACTGACTGGGAAATTTCCATGCTATAATCATATGAGATTCATTAAAGTTCCCCAGTTCTTCAGGAATATGGACCCATGGGGACTGAGAAAACCATAAAGTTTCACTCTAGGCACTGATAACATGGACAAGCCATGGAAAATTCTTCCTTCCAGATAAGCAGATAACATTAATCTTTGTGATCTCCTTATTATAGTAGGTATCAAAAAATATTGAGTTTAAGCAGCTGAGTTCAAAAAGTCATCACTATGGCCACCATGGGGGTGAATGGGACAATTTAAGGACCATGTGGTGAATTCACTCAAATTGTAATGGCAAAAAACCATGATAGGAAAGCCATCAGATGAAAGTTGCTAGCCTTGGCAATTGTCAAAGAAGGTTTCTGCAATCAGGGATATAAAGATATGTGTGTATGTCTATATCCATATATCTATATAGACATATACATACATAGATATAGTCCTTATAGATAATTTATGGTTACCTATGTATTAGTGAGTGTTAATTTACTGGTAATAACTACAATGAAGAAAATGTTGTTGAATAAATTTCTATCCAGAACTGTAGGCAGTTATTGGCAGCCATTCAGATCATTATTAAAACCCAATGTTTTCCAGCACCACAAGTCAAAACATACAATTAATGTTGTAATCATGCATTTTCTAATCAATCACCAGGGAAATGATGGTTTAATACATATGGACACACTTTTAATAAAAATGAGTTTTAAGATTAGGAAAACAAAAAGACTTATGTAGTTTAACTTGAATGTCCATGTTATACTTGAATTTTCCTTTAATAATTGGAATAACAATGAAACTTAAAAGCCATTAAATTTCTCTTATAATTATTATGATCTGCAAAATATTGAATATCAATCCATAAAATGAAACTAATGACTTTTGGGAGCTCCCATTCGTGTCCTTTTTTTTTCATTTCTCTCCCTTATTACTCTTTTTTTTTAGATTGAATGCCCTCTCTCCTTCTTGAAAAACCCTTCCAATTTACAATTACGTAATGGTCACATATTAAGGAACTGCTATAGGCTGGGGGGCTGGAATAGGTACTGGATATTAGAAGCTGATAGCAAAACACGCCTTACCTTCAAGAAAATTGTTTTCTACTGAGAGTAATCAATGCATGCATAATGCTCAAAAGGAGCAATATCTTTAAGAGACAAAAGGCAAACTGTAGAAATCACACTAGGCCTATGATAATCAAGAATATTGATGGAATAGGGAGTCCAGATGAGGTGAGTGTTATGGTTTCCTTAGATTCCCTAAATAGAAAGATATGAGATAAGTGAGAAAACTACGTAGCAGAGAGGATGTAAATTCCTGTTGCTTCACATAATGGAATGGGTGAAAATTATGAGGTCATGTCAGAATACTTTATTGTGGGAGTCACACATCTAATCCCATACCACTATATATTAGGGGTAACAATTAACAACAAGAACACAGGTGCTCCATGAGCCACCATCACACTTCCATACGTGGAACCATTGTTTACATCAAATGGAGAAGTCTTGAATATTGTGGATAAGTTCAATTACCTTGGTAGTATACTTTCCAGGGATGTACAGATTCATAATGAGGTCAATGTATGCATTGCCAGGGCTAGCTGGGTGTTTGGGAGGTTGAGAAGTAAAGTGTGGGAGAGAAGAGGTAATAGACTGACTACCAAAATGAAGGCCTACACAGCCATTGTGTGGACCTCATTGTTGTATACCTGTGAAACATGGACAGCATACCAACACCATGCCAGGGAACTGAACCTCTTCCATTTGAATTGTCTTAGGAAGATTTTTAAGACCACCTGGCAGGTTAAGATACTGGACACTGAGATCTTTTCTTGAACTCAAGTGCCAAACACTCAGAGGGCACAACTCTGACGGGCTGGCCATGTTCATTGAATGCAAAATGCACACTTGCCAAAAAGACTTTTATTGAGAACTCACACATGGCAAGCATTCACATGGTTGTCAGAAGAAGCAATACAAGGCAAGACCTCCCATCATGGCATGCCCACATCAAAGAAGGCATGTTCTCTATGAACAAAGCAGAATCGAAACAGCTCAAAGGAAACACCAGATGTGCAAATTTAGAGAAACCACCCCAAATGTTCACAATGACTATTTGTGCCCGACCTGTGGTAGAGGATTCCAAATTTGTCTGATTAGTCACAGTCGGATACACTGAAACTTCACCTAGCATAGCGATGTCATTTCAGTCCTCTTTGAGAACATTTTACAACAATCAACTATTAGGGCTAACTATTGGGATGTCTGGTGGTACACTGGATAGAAGGCCAGACCTGGAGTCAGAAGACCAGGAGTCTTCTGGGCTTAAATCT